TTTTGTTTTTTACTGACTAGTTAGAATAGTATCTCTCATACGCTAGAGATTGTACGCCTAAGGAATGTAGAAGGAAAAAAAAGAGAGAAAACAAAGATGCGTGTATCAGTTAATTTGTTGACGTGCTATTCTGTAGGTACGCACATTGTGTTTGTATGTGTATGCATGTGCATTATATATAAGAATACATATCGCATCTTTGCTTCAGAAGTGACGCGTAACTAAAAAAGAACGTAATTTTCGAGTTATAGTTAGTTTATCATGAATGAGTTAGTTAAATACAACTCTATCGATCAAATATCTAAGAAACTTAATTTTTTTCTTCCTTTTAGTTATATCACACTTTTGAAGCAATGGTGCAAAATGTTCGTTCGAATGTTAAATATAAAAAATCACATTGTTGCGTACGTATGTGCGTATGTATGATATGTACGCCTTAATTAACACTTTGACCACCCAATTATTTAGATGAGATTTTCCGCAAAGAACCTCATCGCCCTACACAGACGGAACGTTCCCGATCGGAAAAATGGCTTTATTAGATATATTTATACAAGGGTTTATATCGACTGGAACTAATGAATATCATTTATATAATATAACGTACGCTCTATCGCGGAAGAAGGGAATATTTGCAATGAAGCTTTATAGCGATCGATAAGGCCTCGCTACGCTTTTTACGGTCGCGTAATTTTCGATTTCCGGCCCGCCAAAGACCCCGTGCGCGATATCATAGCGTGCGGCAGTCGAAGTGTCAACGTCGCAAACCTAACTTCACTGACATCATCGACTCTTTATCTCGTCGACCTTTCTCTCCGACTTTCTCAAAAAATCGTATATTATATACATGCATAATTAGAGAACGTCGAAGCCGCAAAAATCGCACCACAAGCGATTTTTGCATGCATAAATATCGTGCAGTTTTACATTCGAAATTGAACTTATTGTTGATAAGTCGATTATTAGTATTAGTTTAAAAAGATTCAGTTTAAATTATTCAAATGGCTGTCAAAATCTTTTGATTATGCTTCAAATTTTTTGTGCAAAACAAACGATTTCTATACAAAAACTTTGCTCAATTTATTTATGTCGCGACTAACTTTGTGTTGTGTAAAAACAATTAATTAAAATTATCTGGATGATCGTCAGATCTTTTTAACTACTTTATATGAAATACGAAAACGATTTCATAAGATTGTTATTGTTTAGAGAAATCAATTGTCAGTCAAATTCATACGAATTGGTTCTACTCGGTAATGTGCAAATAAGATTTTACAATGAGGAAGGCGGGTGACACGGTGGGCACCAACAACACAGTTTCCGTCGAGGAAAAACGTTGTTTGAAAAACAAAAATTTCCAAATAAAAATCTGATAGCAATATTAATAATGGATTTATAGATCTAATAATGATGCATTTCCTTAAAAATATTAATTATTGATAATTAATCACCTTCCTTTCATTCTCTCTTTCTCTCTCAAAAAGCAGAAACCTCGGCTAATTTGGACTAACGTTCAATGATGGAGATTGAAATAATAACGTACACGGTAAGCGCTACGCTACTACTTTCGGGATTGTAAGGCTCGTTAAGCCGTGCACGTTTTCCTTTTCTCTCTCCTATCTCTCTTTTTTTTATCGAAATTCGGAAGGCCGCTTTGTTCTTCGTCGTTCTCTGTCGTCGGTAGTGCATAATCGCCCACAGACGCGGGAACTCGCACGAACCCGCCAGAATTTCCACAAAATTACAATTGCGCTTGCCAAGTTGGCTAGGCTGAGATAGCAGAACGGAAACTAGAGAGATCTTGAGATGAATGTGAGAAAACGATGAACGGCGTTTGACGTATGATCATACTGCGACATTGAATGGATCAATGGATGGATGGTATGTGGATGGTGGCCAGGTCATGAAATGAAGAACAACAGAATGCATTTAATGAGCGATTGTTTATTATGCTCTTATTATGGTCACTTGTCATACAGGTAACGATGCTTCTCAATGAGTGAAAATAGTTAATATATTATGTTTGTCTGTTTTGCTTTTTTTTCTCTCTCTCTCTCTCCTTTACTCTTTTTATATAATTATTTAACATTGAATGGAATAAATTGATGATGAAAGAGAATAACAATTTATATGGATGTAAATAAATGTGGTTAGTGTAAAGTAATAATATTAAAGATTAGCCCTTCGGAAGAAAAAAAAATGCCTGTGAACTAAATTATACTTCATCGATAACAATAGTGGTGCCCAAAAGCGGTCACGTCAGGACAGCAGACAATTGAATAAAAAGTTTATCGTCGAGCGAAAGTGTGCAAAAGTAAAACGCATAATCATCGCTCCCTTTTTCCCTTTTTTACGTTTTGATCAACAAATGGAGGAGACTCTCTTTCTCTTTCTATTGAAGCCTTTACGAGTCGTACGAATATGTGTACCCTGACAGCGTCGCGTTTTCATCCGCTTACTGACAAGATCGTGTGTCTCTCTCTCTCTCCCTCTTTTGCCCAACGTACAATTCCTCACACACAGAATTTCTTTTGCCGTGCAATACCTCATTACACGATCGTCCGTGGTATCATCGAGTGTCCAATCGCGAGGTAAGGTAGTGGCTTCTCCCAATTTTGGGACCCTTAACTTCGCCCCCAGTGCCTTTGAGCGCCGAAATGACAGTTCTCACGTGGAACGGACACGCGTGCTAAAAGTCATCCAATGTTCGAATTTGGTTCGAACTCGCTAATAAATAACAATTGACGTCTCACCAACACTCATATACTCCGGCTGTAACTCCGTCGTAAATAGAGAAAAGAATGCGCCAGCTTCGTGACATTTTTGGTATTATCTCTCTCTGTTCGACCGAGAGAACCGAGCGTATTCTTTTTCCCTTTCCACGCACTCGCGAGTCATATGTACGAATCAAACGTCATATGTAGCCCATGTTCGAACTGTCGCAGGTATTTTTTTTTCTTTTTAAATTTGTAACAACGAATCGAAAAAGATCACGCGAAGATAAAACGACGTTTCCCGTATACTTTCGCCGAATATTTCTTTTCATGATTTGCGAGATTACTATGCGGTCACGATGGAACGAGGATCAACGATACCACGGACGTTTTTTCCGCAAACCTTCGATATATCGTATCGACGGCAGCCGAATTACAATCTTTTCGCCTCGCCATCTCCGAATCTCTGCTTACTCGTCTAAAGTGTAACCGTACCTTCCGTAGAGTTACGAACTATTTTTTTTTACTACTTAAAACTTATGGGAAATATCGATAATCTTAACTCTTCCTTAGCTGAATCGCAATACCCTTCCGCTCTTCCTCCCTTCCATTTTCCGTTTTCTCCACCCTTTCTCGCGCGGAGAGGCGAGGAACACCTCGGAATTATTAAAAAATACACAATTTTGCCCATTGCTCGTAATGCACCGCCGTCTCGTTCTCGTGTCGTGTCGACAAAGGAAAAAGAAAAAAAATAAGCTAAACCGTCTGTCGTGATGTACGTACACAATTACGAGATAAAATGTGTGTAATGAGTGACAATGGATCTTCGGTCTAATCCTGTGTGCGGCGTAATTCGAACTCGGTAAAATAGACTTATAAAATAGACTGCGCGATAGAAAGCAACATGAGTGAGTGAGAGAAAGAGAGGAGAGAGAGAAAGAGAGAGAGAGAGAGAGAGCAATAGGAGAATCAATGCCTTCCTTGTTCAATTGCTGCAGCAATTGACCAACAAGGAAAGCATCAATTTTCCAGTGATTCTCCTATTGCTCTCTCTCACTCATGTTGCTTGCACGTTTTCAATGGGAACGCGCAGTTTACCTTATAAGTCTATGGGTAAAGCGCAAGATGAGAAAAACGCTGCCGTGTTGCATGTGTTTATGTACGTATGTATGTATGTATGTCCTTAAATTACTTTATAGCCGAAGGAATGTAAGGTACAATACTTGATCATGATTTTTATCATCGGTGCGAGACGAATAAATCTCTCTATGGTACCTTCGCAGCCAGCTGCTCTCTTTTTCTCTCTTTTCGTCTTCATATAGATATATATATCTTTTTCTCTCTCGAGATTATATATATTTATGTATATATATATATATCATGGAAGATAACTCTATTTTCCCTCTCTTTCTCTCTCTGCTTCTCTAATTCACGTCATAATTGTGACGCAAGACAAAAGACTTATCATCGCGAAAGTAAAATGCAAACGCGCGTACCCCCTCCCCCTTTGTCTTTCTGTCGGTCTGCAAAATCTTCTGTTCACTTGTGTAAGCATGCACTTTTAACATTATACAATGCGTATGCGTGTACGTGTACGTGTGTGTGAACGAATCATGAATATGTAGGATGAGAGCACACGTGCAACCACGTGTACTTGCGATCTATAGCAATATACGACTACTTATACTCAACAAGGTACTCAATAGTCTCCTGCTCCTCCTGCTTCTCTTTCTCTCTCTCTCTCTCCCTCTCTCGCTCTCACTACTTAATGTTACTTAATTGTTTTTCTTTAATTCCCCATTTTAATCCCCGAGCTGCTATGTGCTATCTCTACCTCAACAACAACGATCTCATGTCCGAGAGTGTCTCTTAATCCCTTTTCTCGATTTTTTTCTTTTTTTTTTACACATTACGCTTACCCAAAAATAATATACCATATTAACAGCCTAGCTCTATCAATATTCTCACTTCCGACAAAATAACATTACATACAATTTTTGTACAACCCTCTTAATTATCTTGTAACGAACGCGTTCTAGTTACGGCGGACATTGTAACGTCGCCTCGTTACATTCTCAATACATAATTTTCTTTTATATATATATATATATATATATATATATATATATATAT